CAAAAGCCTTTGTGTATAGTGTGCTAATACAAGAGGTTACGCAGCATTACACAAGTTTTTTATTTTTTAATGCCTCCAGATGGCCCAATTCTCACTTTAAAAAAAATTATTTTAAATGCCTTCACTCTATTTTAATGTGAAATATTGCATTTATTAAAAAATAGTAAATAAATAAATATATATATTAATTCTAATGGAGAAAATAGCTCATTCAAATTTTATAAATATTGCATAATATAAAATTCCCTCAAAATCATAAATAATAAATTTAATGCATCCTAGTTGAATAAAAATATGAATTTCTTAAAAAAATCTCACTGCAATCTTTTGAACAGTATTGTACACTACCATTTAAAGATCTGGAGTCTATTTAACAATGAATTATGGAAAAAATATATATTTATACAAATATTTATCAGCACATCTGTTTTTTATATTGATAATCAGAAATGTTTCTTGAGCAGCAAATCAGCATATTAGAATGATTTCTGAAGATCATGTGACACTGAAGACTGCAGTAATGATGCTGGAAATTCAGCTTTGATCACAGAAATACATTACATTTTAACATATTCAAATAAAAAAACAAGTTCTCTTGAATTGTAATATTTCACAATGTTACTGTTTTGTTTGTTTTTACAATAAATGTAGCTATGGTGGGTATAAGAGACTTCTTTCAAAGATGCAAAAAATCCTACTGACCCCAGACTTTTGAACAGTTGTGTAAATTACAGTTATGATGTTCCTCCCATTTCAGTAATACTGTGGCATATATAGTCCATACCATAGAGACTGTGCCTGTTCCCTAAATACTGAGGACAAATAATATGTTTACTAAGGGATCTAGAATAAAATCGAATTGTGATTTAACCAAATAATAGCATGGTAAGCTAAATAATGTCACAAAACTATGGACAATTGATAGTGCCCAGGATATTGAAGTCCAGTAAATGAGGCAGAGCTTTTTCGCATTTTACTCTTAAACTCTCGAATAGCCTTCCTGATAATGTTTGGGGCTTAGACACACTCTCTCTGTTTAAAATCTAGATTAAAAATACATCTTTTTAGCTAAGCATTCACATAACACATCTCATAACCTTGTACTCCAGTGATGAAATAGTAATAAATGCACATGATCATCTTTTGCCTGAAATAATATGAACAGCATCTATGCTAATCCTTCTCCTTTTGTGTTCCTGTTTCTATCTCTCAGGTTGCCCATCCCAATGTTACTACAGCTTGGATCCAGCCTCACTTGTGGTGACTTGGTACAAATATGTGAACTGAATGCTTCTATTTGAAAGTTACATTGGATAAAACCATCTGATACTGTAAATAAATTTGTATATTTAATCTGTTCACTGAAAAGAAATTTACAATTGTGATTGTACATTGTTTCTGATCCATCATTGTGTGCAAGGACATTTTGGTTAGCGTAATCCAACTGATAATGAACCACGGACCGACCGTGGACTGCCAGCAAACAGTAATTATAAACCAGCGGCTCGTCAGCGGACCGCCGTCGGAAAAGCAGCGGCTGCCGCTGGTGGTCCGCTGGAATAACGATGAGCAAAACGCCGGTGGGCCGCCGACTTTGCCACCGGTGGGACGCCAGTGGCCCGCTGGTCTTGTGTTAGCTGGGTAGTAACTCGAGCAAGTAACTGGCGCTGCCAAATACTTCCGTAACCATGAAAGAAACGCGTTAAGCGGCGCGCTCTCGCTCTGGCTTGGTCGCTGAGTGCGCGCATGTGCATAAGAATCCAACTCTTAATTAACAGTGTAAATAACTCAGAATGCATGAAATGGCATTACCCCGTTTAAGCGAAGCATATTGCAACGACAAGCGTGTTGCTAGTGACAACATAAGTACCGCACGTGCATGATCAGCTGATGCGAGCTTGACTAACGTGACCTGCCAGAACTAATGCCGAGTTCACACTGCACGATTTTCAAACTCGTCGCCGTTGTTTTCACACTGCGTGACTATCTGGGGTAGCATTCAGTTGCTGCTGTGTTCACATTGCAGTCACAATAGGAAGACAGCTCTGTCTGGTGCAGGGTTGCCAGGTTTTCGCTACAAAACCAGCTCAATTACTACTCAAAACTAGCCTGAAAACAGCCCAGTTGCTTTCGAGGGGGTCCCCCAGTAAACATCGTGTTGGAGGGTAAAATACACATTTTTTTGGCGGGGGTCTCCTGGTACAATTCACATTCCAGGGCCTAAATATCACGTTATTGGGGTCGCCTCAACATTTGGAAGATATTTGCTACAGCCCTCTTGTGTTTTCGCACCTGCATCTAATAACCACATTTGCATGAAATTTCATTGAAAAGCAAAAAATCAGCCCACTCTCCTGCAAGCTGTTTTTGATTTTAAGATGAGGTATTTTCTGTGAGGTGTTCCCACAAACAAACACAGACAGAGAGAGAGAGAGAAAGAGAGGGAAGCATCAGTGATGACACTTTCCTTTAGTGAGCCAGAACTAATTATAGAGTGGCAAAGTTGATTATCTGGCAATATTCTCCACACAGTGTAGGAGTGATAAGCAGCACATCTGGGAGATCTTATCTGGTCCCGTCGGGCTATGAAATTAATCTCCGCTCCATGTGAAGGCAATCATTGCACATTTCATACACCCGCACTATACTCCTAACACACTCCAAACTCTCTTTATAGCAAACCCTTTTGCTGGACTCCTGTTAATATGCCAAGAGAGATGTAAAACATAAGAGAGGTTGTAAGGGCATGATATTAAGCCACGGTCCGAAACACACTTAAAAAACTTTGTGGCTTGTAGTCCAAGTGCGCTAACTTTGAAGACTAGTGTACTGCTAAACATTGACAGTTCACTTTTAGCATACACATTTAAAATGTACCTTTCTCTTTTGGGAAACCGAATCACCTTGCACTCAGGTGCATATCCAAATTGTTGTCCAATCAAATGCTCTCTAGAATGAGAAAGCCCCTCCCCTAAAACCACATGACAACGAAATTGTGTTTGACTGCTCCTTGCCTAATGCCGAGTTCACACTGCACGATTTTCAAACTCGTCGGATCGCCGTTGTTTTCACACTGCGTGACTATCTGGGGTAGCATTCAGTTGCTGCTGTGTTCACATTGCAGGATGGATCGGCGACAGGGAGTTTCACACTGCATGACTTCACAATAGGAAGACAGCTCTGTCTGGTGCAGGGTTGCCAGGTTTTCGCTACAAAACCAGCTCAATTACTACTCAAAACTAGCCTGAAAACAGCCCAGTTGCTTTCGAGGGGGTCCCCCAGTAAACATCGTGTTGGAGGGTAAAATACACATTTTTTTGGCGGGGTTCTCCTGGTACAATTCACATTCCAGGGCCTAAATATCACGTTATTGGGGTCGCTTCAACCTGCTGACATAAAACACAACCGGCGGCAATCGCGGATTTGGCAACACTGGTCCGCAAACTACGTTTCATATAACTATGGAACGGTTTAATTGCAATTTAACAGCAAAATTAATTAATTAATTACATGAAAATATATGACTGCCTTTGTATTTTAGGAAGAGGGTCCCTCTCAGTCATAGTTGTGGGGTCCTTGGCATCAAACAGTTTGCGAACCCCTGCAATAAAATACCATGTGATTCCCTGTAATTTGTTTCAAGAACATATTTGATTGAAGCTAGCCATTCCTCCCTAGGTATCTGACAGCCCGCCTGGAGAAGAGGAGGAGTTTGAGGGTTCGGCTGTGTTTGAGGGTTCTGGCATATTTGAGGGCTCTGGTGTGTTTGAGGGCTCTGGGATCTTTGAGGGCTCTGCTGGAGAAGCTGAAGGTTCTGGAATGGAGGAGAATGGAGAGGAAGAAGGGTTTGTCTACTACTTCCTGGAGGAGAGCACTGGATATATGGAGCCCGCTTTGGCCTTTTTTTCCATCTTACACACCATCATTTCCTTCCTGTGCATCATCGGCTACAACTGTCTGAAGGTCTGGAGCTCACTGGATTCTGTTATCATTTACTCACCCTCATGTCATTTCAAACCTGCATGACGTTCTTTCTTCTGTGAAACATGAGGAGAAATTTAATAGTGTCCACAGAAAGGACCAAAAAGCACCATGGAAGTGTCATAAATGTGGTCCATACAACTTGTACACAATATTCTATATGTCTTCTGAAGCCATACAATAGCTTTGTGTGAGAAATGGATCAAAATTTACATATTCCTTCCCTTCAGGCGAGTAAATGATGACAGAAATTTCATTTTGGAGTGAAATATTCCTTTTCATTTGGTTAAGCTAGTGTGAGCTGCTAACGTTTTCTTCCATGTCCAGGTTCCTTTGGTCATCTTTAAGAGAGAGAAGGAACTGGCCCGAAAACTGGAGTTTGACGGTCTGTACGTAACTGAACAACCAGAAGATGACGACATCAAGGGCCAGTGGGACAGACTTGTCCTCAATACACCGTAATATTACTATATTATTATTATTTATAAATTTATAAACAAGTATCCTTGTGAAGACTCTGAAATGGCATTTCCTTTTATTCTCCACTCAGGTCTTTCCCGAACAACTACTGGGACAAATTTGTGAAGAGAAAGGTCAGGGGCGCGCTATGCTGGTTTTTGCAGATGTTTAATGTATTGAGAGATGTCGGTGACTGAGTGTGTCTATGGTGTGTCTGTGTTGTAGGTGCTAGAGAAGTATGGCGATATCTACGGTAGAGAAAGAATCGCTGAACTTCTGGGCATGGATCTAGCTTCCCTTGATGTCAGCGCTATGACACACGAGAAGAAGCCTCAGCATGATCCCTCAATATTCACATGGTACAGAAAGATGCAAAACATACTCATAATGTGTGAATAAACATGTCACCAAAATGTCAATAGCCAAAACCAGTATAAAAAATAAAAGATTTGATACCACAAAATCAAATATACCAGTGGGTAGGGATGGGAACCGCTCTAACAATTCCAAAATCACAGCTACTTTATGCAGGCTGTGTGCATCTGACTGTGGATTGACTGTTTTGAAACTTATATGGTAGTTATATAGCACCTAGACCTCAGTTATCATGAAAAAAGCCAGGAAATTTCAGTTTTGACAATATGGGACCTTTAACAGTTCCATTGACAATTTTTGAAGCAGGCATATGTGGAGAATTAAATTGAGCCAAATGAAGAGGAAAGAAAGAAAGAGTTGTAAGCCGTTTATGATTCACTAGAGCAATAGTTCACAACAGCTCATTAAAGATATTCGTTTGGGAATCGGTTGGACTATACTACTCTTTATTTTTTAAAGGGGTCATATGATGCGATTTCAATTTTTCCTTACTCTTTGGAGTGTTACAATCTCTTGGTGCATAAAGAAGATCTGTAAAGTTGCAAAGACTAAAGTCTCAAATCCAAAGAGATAT